ATCAGCTTATATTAATTTCCTAAGATTAACATTTTAAACTAAGCAATGTCTGAGTTCTCAAAGGCAACAATTAAACTCATGTTAAGTACTCAGAATGGCAGTACATTGTGGGCAGAGCTTCTAAAGGATTCTCTGATGTTCACAGATCAAAAAGATATGACTTCAGTTTTGAATTGTTATGCCGTAAGTTCACGATAAACTTACTGATTACAGCTGGCGATTGGGTCCTCAAAACACAAAGTCTTAACACTATGTACTCTACACATAAAGATATATGATGCTTTCAACATATACTCAATACACATTGAATGCTTTATCTCACTGTAGGTATATCTGGCTTACGGCCACTCATACATGTTATCTCTTAAATTTAAATTTACTTTGTAAGTGAGATATCAGGATGTTTAATAAAAAGTGGATAAGAACATAAGAACATAAGAAAATAAGCAGTCTTTCCGGTTGGCCTGTGCATGGCAGCTCCTCTCGAGAGTTACTACCACTCTCTATCATCCATGAATCTATCTAGCATCCTTTTAAAACTTTCCAGCGTTCCAGCACTTACTACAAAGTTGCTAAGCTTGTTCCACTCGTCCACCACCCTATTTGTGAACCAGTTCCTTCCTATCTCCCTCCTAAACCTAAACTTATCCAACTTTAATCCGTTTCCTGCTCGCATATTATAAGAACTCTATCTACATCCCCTTTATTGATTCCTTTCACCCACTTGAATACTTCTCTCATATCTCCCCGCACTCTTCGTCTTTCTAAGGAATGCATGTTTAGTTTCTTTAACCTATCTTGATATGGAAGGTTTTTAAGTCCCGGAATCATTTTCGTCATTCTTCGCTGCACCGACTCTAGTGAATTGATATCCATTCTATAATAAGGGCACCAGAACTGAACCTCATAATCGAGGTGCGGCCTGACTAGCGCAAGATATAGTTGCAATAAGACCTCTGCACTCTTATTACTTACACTTCTAGATATAAAACCCAATACTCTGTTTGCCATATTTCGAACATTAACGCACTGTTTTCTAGGCCGTAGGTCCGGGCTTACAAGTACCCCTGGGTCTCTTTCACAAGTCGACTTCTCTAGTTTGATGTTGTTAAGGCTGTATACATTGACAGTATTTGTTCTTCTAATATTAATTACGCTGCACTTGCTGGTGTTGTATTTCATTTGCCATTTTTCTGACCACTCCTGCAGTTTATTTAATTCCTCCTGTAGTGCATTTGAATCCTGCCCTGAATTAATCTGCCTCCCTGTTGCAATTCATCTTTAAATTTTGTGTCCTTTTATAATTTCATACTTGAAGTTTAATAAGAACATCTATTGCAGTGTAAAAATGTATTAAAATATGATAATAGGGCTTACATAATCTTTGACAACCTTCCAGTGATACCGTTGGGTAATTTTTTTTTCAGTTCTGGCATTGATACCACTGTGCCCAGCAGATGGTACAGCATGGCAGTTCAAAAGAATACTCTGCTTTTCTTTTTCTGAAGTTATAATTCTTTGCCATAATCATGAATTTGGTGCTTAAATTTGCTAAGTTATAAGGGCAGGGGGTTTCTTCTTCTCCCTTATATTCTTATTTCATACTTCTTTCTTTGTCTTAGTTCCTTCATTTGCTCTGTCTAAATATTTCATTTCATGGTTACTTCATGACCTCAGTCCTTTGGTAGCATGGCGAGGGTTAGGGCACATGTTGTCATGGTCACATTGACTGCTGATCTATTTAACTAATGATTCTTATTACACTCCATGCCCGCAAAACATGAGTGAGTTAGCGACCCCTAGAAGGAGCGTGTTTACCCTAGCGATCCCTCCCAGTAAGTCCCGCCTTCGGACACAGTTGTCAATACGTTGTTTATTCCACTTTCTCCTGGGAAGCTCAATCTTGAATTAGTCTGTGTAAATCAACTCAAGTAATTCGCCAGACCTTTGTCAACTGAGGGTCATCTTTGAATGAGTAACAGTTAGTTGTTTGTAATTATTGTCATTGCGTGAGTAGCGATCACTGGCAACTCAGGGGTATATAAACTCAAGATGGCCAGGGAGAGCGTCCCCTGACGCTGCTTTCCGTTTGTCTCCAGATCCTTGTGATTCTTGAATCGCTCTACAATCCAACCACGGCCTCAGATGTAGTAGATGGCCAGCCGGGATCATATATGAAAAGATGGCACCGATGTTGCCTGATTAATGTGCCCCACGGCTTCGTTGGGCCAGACCCCAGACCCGCCATGTGTCTGGCTACCCCACAATAACAAAGGTAGTGGGCCCTAGTGTTCTGCCCTGGGTTACTCCTTGGAAGTGAATGTCCAGAGAGTGGTGTAACATGTATGTTAGGGATAATTAGTTGGAAATAATTATCCCATGTTGGGTAGTGGACCCCTGCATATACTAGTGTCATTGTTTACGTATATGTTGAATAATCTACAATGAGTGCCATGTAATGTACCACCAGTAATGTTGTGAGTAAGAGTAAAGAAGAAGGTACTGAGTTTGCACTAAGCCCAGGAGGTGAGCCTGGTAATTATATGATTAATACAATATCTTTCCCCATTGATTGCATATTAATAAACTTGTTTTTAGAGTACTTTACGTGTATTCATTTCTCCCACAGTATTTTACCTTTATTTCCATCCAAGTGACTTGATACCAAAATTACCATACTCACGTGCCTAGACCCTCGACCATGCTACCAAAAGAATGTCCATGCTACCAAAGAATAGGGTGGTGTAGAGATAAAGAGGGAACCGGCCCCCTCACATTGGTGGCAGGCCTAAAACCCGCCCCCTCACAATGTGTACTGTAATTCTGGTATCAAGTTATTGGACAAAAATAAAGGTGGATACTGAGAGAAAATTATACCCCTAATATACTCTAAGAAATGGTTTATTAATATGAAATTAAATTAGGTCAAAGATGTCAATAACATACAACTACAAGCTTCAACTCCTTGGCCTTACTCATCTGCAATTCCAATTAGGTACTCTTGCTTCTTACAGCATTACTGGTGGTACATTTCATAGACTACACTACATGACAAACTTACATATGGTACCTTCACTAGAACTGTTGGTAGTACATATGGAGGATGCACTCACAACACATAACACGTTATTACTGATACTAACAATTTTTATGGGTTCACTACCCATCATGGGATAATTATATTCCGGTTAATTATCTCCAACCATATATAGCAACAACTGTGGACCATATAACTTCAAGGAGTGTCCCAGGGTATAACACTGGCGTCTCAACAAATGAAGATCCCTGTTATGATCCGTTGTAGTCTGACACATGGTGAGAGTCTGGGGGTCTAGTTCCCAGGATGTGGACTGGAGCAGTTTAATCCTGCCGAATCAGTGACATCATCCAATACAGCTAACTGTTAGGTAGCTACCTACCCCGGGCAGCCGGTGGGGTGTTCAAATAACCCACACACTGGACCTGGGATAATTTGGAGACGTCAAGGAAGGGATGATGATGACTCAATCACAAACAATCTTTCGTCTAGCAACAGCAGACGACATTTACGTTATAGTAATTCTTACACTGGGTAAATGACAATTTCACTGTTACAACATGAACACTGATACTCACAAAATTGACCAAGTCAAACTGAATGACTATATTGGCGGGGAACACTCGCTCACATACCTGGGATAATTTGGAGACGTCAAGGAAGGGACGTTTCTCCTTCAAACACAGGTTTATATACATCATGATTTGCCAGAGATGGCTACTCAAGCAATGACAGAAATTACATTCAAATCAACTGCTACACATTCAAAGATGATCCTCAGTTGACACGGGTCCGGCGAATTTCTTAAGTTGATTTACATTAACTTATTAGAGACTGACCTTGCCAGGAAAAAGTGGAATATACACGTTGACAACTGTTAGTTCCCCAAATGGGCGGGACTTATGGACAAGGAGCCTTTGTGTATATACGTTGAGATCTTGGAGAAAATGGCTGGCACCTAAAGAGAAGGAAAACGCTTTTCATCCTAGGGATAACTCACCAGTTATCCACATGTTTTGCAGGCGTGGAGTATAAGATGAATCATCATGTTTCAAACAGACCAGCAGTCATTGTGACCATGACAAAGTAATGTACTAACCATCAATTCTGTACTGATTACTGCTCGTAGCCTTCACCACTGCCCTCTTTAGACGCTGGTCACTGCCTGCCGATGAGTGTTATTTTTTAGGTACTACTTAACATACTCCATGTACTCAGAAAACTTTTTAAATTTTTCACTCTGCATTTCACGCCCTGTGAGAGTCGCCATATCCAATTATCTATCCCCACAGCACAACTGGTCACTTCTGGTCCGACACAGGGTGAGGCTGGTTCACGTCACTGTTTGTGAATGTGACGTCATTAACCGTGCATGCACAGTTATCATTTCGGCTATTTCTGGTCCGGGGAACTTGTGGTCCGCTACACCTGCATAAAACCGTGTTGGCAATCCTTTACAAGGTTGTTTCGTAGTAGATGTTCCATAATGGCATCTCTTATAATGCTCTCAAGTACTTTACATACTATGCTGGCCAGGCTCACAGGTCTATAATTATTCGCGGAACGACGATCGCCTTCTTGAATATAGGACTCACATAAGCCAAATTTCCAATCACTGGGGACCTTTTGCTCATCCAGTCATTTACAGAACAGGATCTTCAGGGGCTCAGCAAGCTCGTTGCACAACTCTCTCAGCACCCTGGGATGCACCATTTCAAGGCTGGGACTCTTATAACCTATTCTGTGAACACAATGTGGGTCAGTGCTGTGTCGAACCGTCTGTCCTCAAACACAGAAAGATTGTTCGCATCGTCTCTTGTGAGGATGCGAACAATCAATCAATCAATAATGCATAAAGTATGTGTTTATATTTTGCAAGAGTTATATCCTTGTTGAATTTTATCATATTCTATTCAAAGATTGATGGTATCAGTATCTAATGTTTATGATTAATTTTTGACAGGAGCTCCACCACCACCTATTCATGCTGTAAATCGAGGCATTGGCATAGAAGGCATCGGGTGTATCATAGCAGGAGTGTGGGGTACAGGCAACGGCACTACCTCCTACTCTGAAAACATTGGAGCCATCGGTGTTACAAAGGCTAGTTTGTTCTGAACAGTGCATGATAGGTCCATCCATAGTGAAAACACTATCTGAAATCTTTATCTGCCCATCTGTCTCCTAAGATGTAGACTACTACAAACTGAATGAGATGCAACAGGAGTGTAGCAAAACTAAATCAAATTCCACTCAACTTCAAGTGTACTCTCTCTTATAGCCATCATTTACTGTATCACTAATTCATTATTGCAATAAATCTGAATATGAGTGAGTCTGTTATATTGTGTTAAATCAATTTTAAAAAATTTTCAAGTGAAGATACTTTTACTATGTTTTTAATGAGGATGTTGCCTGGGAAGACGTGTGTATTTTAATTGGAGAGTTACAATTGTTGACGACCAAGAGACTTATACTTCCTTCTCATTAGGCAGCCAAATTTTATTCAACAGGAAGTTAGTTACTAGTGGTGTTTGTGGCTCATCAGAGGGCCAATTCCAGTATGTGTTTCTGCAGGTAAGTACTGATAATATGTGTATTCCAGGTGGGAAGCCGACGTGTCGTGCAGACTGGGGCAATAATTATGTTGGTCTTTGGGATGCTGGGCAAGGTGTGTGCACTGTTTGTGACGATCCCTGAGCCTGTAGTGGGTGGCGTCTTCTGCGTTATGTTTTCCATGATTACTGCTGTTGGCCTCTCCACCCTCCAGTATGTTGACCTCAACTCCTCCAGGAACCTCTTTGTATTGGGATTCTCTATCTTTTTTGGCCTTTCAGTTTCAAAGGTAGGTGGAAGTTGTATCTTGTTTCAGAAACTCTGGTAAATAATACTAAAAAATTCAGTATATGCATGAAAGAATTCAATTCCCTGTGGAAGGCATCCAAACCACTGAAGTTTAAATATTATTTTAAAATTTTCCTAATTAAGCTATCAGCAATTAACTTCTTAAATGGGTCAAGTGGCATACGTTCTCTTTCCCAGAGGCTGTCTGCTACTCCAACAATCTTTTGCCTTTTGGGCATTTTTAAAACCGTTAGTGTTTTATGATGTCTTCCAACTGCAGCGAAATTTGAGGATTCTGGAGAAGCCCCAATGGAGAGAAAGTTGGATAAAACGCGTGAAAATTTCAAGTTAAAGCCAGTTGATCATAATTTAAAATAATTTGCCTTATTTCAGTAAAGGTAGACCCCTAATTATTTCAAATTGTGAAGGTTTTAGTGTACAGTCTCATTCAAGATTCTTTGAACGCTGCTGGAGGCAGCTGGCAACTCAAAGCAGTTTGTTTACTATACTACGTAATAAAAATAATGAATGAATGTAAAAGTGATCCGTGATTGGTTACCGAGTTCCCCGTTGCTTAATTAATGGTTGGGCTTTGTTGTTTCGTATTATATTATACCTTTATGCTGGTATATACTGTTAATTTGATTTTAAAATGGATAGAGCAATAGGCCGACCTATGTGAATTTATGTTTAGACTATTAAACATAAGTAAAAATCGGTAAGTATGTTAAAGAACATCATGCATCGGGCACAGCTGTGTGCAGGCTGTGTATGAGATTGCCTGTTTATCATTAATTTATACTAATGTTATCTTCAAACGTTTAATGCCTTTGCCTGTGTGTGTCAATACTTGTCTGTAAAAACACTTGTATAAATGAAACAATATTATTAAGTTTATTTAATGAAATTATTTGTTTTACATTCCCTGTGATGAATTAAAAATAAAAATATATATATAATTCGTTATTTATTCATCTATTTATTTAGGTTTCAATTATATGTCATGGAATGGATATTATACAGTTTATACGAAATGAAAGACTTTCTAATGCGATCCTGTGGTGAACCAGTTTAAAACAAGTTTTTTTTTGCTGGCAAACAATTAATAATCGAAAGAAATGTAATTTGAAATATATAATAAGCTAAGTCTACTAAGATGACAATCGTAATGACAGTTGAAAAGTCTACAGCGATACAATACACATGCTACCGCTTTAGCTATACCTTCTGTAAGAGCGGAAACGATCTCGTTACCGCTGCTAACTCTCTTGCTTGCTGGTTCGGACGACACTTGGGGCGGTTGGACAGAGGTGAGAACAGCAGCGACTATCTGGGTCACCGGGAGATTCAACCCAGCCGCCATACAGTCACGATCTAGCTACCCGGTTGTTAGTCAAATTCTGGCTGTGATTTCATCATAGGTCCTGGACTCGTGGGCTGTGTCCCCAGACTTTCACCTATGGACTGTCAATTCTCTGGTCATCTACCACTACCACATACCATGACCGTCAGTTCATCTCATTCCGTCCGTGCCCCGGTGTTCTCCTGCCATTTCAGGACGTCGGTCGAGTGTGGAGTTGAATGGACGCTTCTCTACCCTGAGTGTGGATCACCGTGTTCCAGAACCTTCCCCCAGGGCCACTGCCGTAGGAAATATCTGTTCATTGTTTAATTCTATCAGTTGTTGACTCCCATTAATTGTTTGCTCCCTTTAATTGTTTGCTTCCATTAATTGTTTGACTCCATTAACTGTTGACTAACTTAATTGTTTGACTCCCGTAATTGTTACTTGATGTTTGTTGAGTGGTGTCAGAGTTTTGTGTTATATTTTTTATAGTAAAGAGATGTCAATCTCAAACGGTTGTTTGTTATTCCTCAGAAAACCATGGTCCTTAACTTTCCTCAATTAAGAACCTGATTAGTCTGGTATGGTATTTCTATCCCTGAGTCCCAGGCCTTTACACCTTCTGTACGAAATTTCACTAATGTAATTTTTTTTATAATATATAAAAATGGCAAGGGACCCCGTTGAAATCAACTTTCTTCATGAGCAAGTGCGTATGTTTCCATGCAAGTGTGTGTGAGTGTTGGAACATTATTGTAAGTTATGAAATATTGTGAGGTAACGTTGTAACTGAAGGTTCCAAGTGTTCCCTGAAGAAGGCAGTGATGGGTAGGGAAACACCGGGTAACACTGAAGTCCATTTATTAACGGATAGGAGAAATACAAGTAGTGACTAGCGTGTGCCATGCATGACCCACGGAGTCAGACTGAGGCTGCATTGCCATATGGCAGCCTCGGGGCAATGTTGCCACATAACACGTGCAGTGTTGCCACATAATTAAATACATAGATGCTACTCGGCACAGCAGCTTATATACAAGGTTGCTACTCGGCACAGTAGCTTAGATATATAACCTACATCTCCCTCCCCCCTCACGCTCATAGTCTTTGTCTTGAGCGGACTTCTTAGTCCTAAGTCGCTCCGAGCGTCGAGGTGCACTGTGGGGGGGATCCTCGTGAGGTGTAGGGGACTCGTCCTCGGTCAGGGGGCCAGCAGCAGGGGGGGTGAGACTGGCCGGAGGAAGCGGCGGTTCCTCCACCAGATGCGGCAGCTCGGCATCCTGACCTTGTAGTCCCGCGACTGGCCGACGCCCATCACTATGCCCACCTTGTCCCAACGTGTCGTCGTCGGGTCCTGGATGCGGACAAGGGCACCACTCTCCAGCGGCTGAAGAGGGCGGGCATAGTTATCATAATGAGCCTTGGCGTCCTGGGCACATGTAGCGGCGCGACGGTCGCAGCTCTCGGCTCTGGTCTGCCAGTCCTTCGCAAAGGCCTTGGCGTGTGTAGGAACGCAAGAGCGGAGAGGGTGACCATACAGGATCTGGGCAGGGGAGCGTCCTGTGTGGGTGGGAGTATCAGGTAACTTCAGGAGTCCTTTGTCAAACGCCTCACAGTCTATGTTGCCTGAAGGGGCCACCTTGAGGATGAGGTGCTTGACTGTCTTGACCGCAGCCTCAGCGTGGCCGTTTGACTGTGGGTAGTGGGGTGTTGACACGATGTGGCGGACTCCCCAACGCTCCAGAAATCCTGTGAAGTCCCGGCTGGTGAACTGTGGCCCACCGTCCGTCCGCAGACGTACGGGGACGCCCAGGTCACGAAAGAGGTGCCGGAAGTGGCGAATGGTGGCCGCGGACGTCGTGTCCGAGCCACAGATTACCACCACAGGCCAGCCAGAGAGTCGGTCGGCGACAACTAGGAAATGTTTCCCAGCTGTGCTGAAGAAATCAGCCGACACGGACTCGAAGGGCCTGGTGGGTTCGTCGTCGCACAAGAGGGGATCCTGCTGTTGACTGGGCTGCATGATCTGGCACGGCTCACAGGCACGAACCGTATTGACGATATCCGCCTCATTGCTGGGCCAGTACACAGCCTGCCTAGCGCGGTTCTTGGTGGCCTCTGCTCCACGATGGCTGCCGTGTAAGCGGGCCAGAACGCGACGACAGAGAGCTGCAGGGACTACCACACGGGCACCATACAGGACGAGGTCCCCATCTGCGTAGAGGTCCTCACGTATCTTCCAATACGGGCGTAGGGCGTTGTGGAGGTCAAAACGGTCGCGAGGGAACCCAGTCCTCACACTCTCCAACAGCTGAGTGTAGGAGGAGGAGTCGCGTGCTGCGGTCCGTAGTTCCTCAAGGGCCAGATCGCTGTCAGGTGGCGACACTGAGGCCTGGGTGCTGGGGAAGGACTGAACGGCCTGCAAAGTGACGATGTTGCTGATGGAGAAACCGGCCTCGGTGCTGAGCATCTCGTCTTCAGGTGTAGGGCGGCTGACTGGGGAGCGGGAGAGGGCATCCGGGATGCACAACTCCTTACCTGCGCGCCAAGCCGCGGTGAAGACGAAGGCCAAAATCTTCTCCTTCAGGCGCTGGAGGCGGGGATTCTCGATGGCGTCCAGCGAATAGTGGTTAAGAATGGGGACCAAGGGCCTGTGGTCTGTGATGAGGTCGAAGTGCTGTAGGCCAATCAAGTAGAACTTGCACTTCGATAAGGCCCAAACCACTGCCAGCAGCTCCAGCTCGATGGTAGCGTAGCGAGACTCAGCATCGGTGAGGAAGCGAGAGCCACACTGTACAAGCCGGTACTTTCCTCCACCGTGATCCTGGAGAAGGGCGTAACCGACCCCGTACAGGCGCGAGGCGTCTGTCTGGAGGACGGTGGGGAGCGCTGGGTCGAAAGTAGCGAGGATAGGTGGACTTGACAGGGCCTCCCTTCACCTTATGAAAGGCGAGGTCGTGGTCAGGGGTCCACATGAAAGTACTCTTGGGGCTCATCAGGGGGCGGAGAGGCCCAGCAGCAGCGGAGACGTCAGGAGAAAATTCTGCCAGCTGGTTCTCCAGGCCCATGAAAGACCTGAGATCCGTAAGGTTGGCAGGTTTGGCAAAGTCCGCTATGGCGCTAACTTTCTCCGGGTCCGCAGCAATGCCATCCCTTGAGAGTCGGTAGCCGCAGAAAGACACTGCAGGTGCGGCCAAGACGAACTTCTCGGCATTCAGAGTGATGCCGTGAGTCCTACACCTGGTCAGTACCTCGTCGATGCGGTGAAGATGCGTCAGGTAGTCCTCATCGTAAAGGAGGACGTCATCCACTACCTTCATGAAGTTGGTCACGCCTTGAAGTGCCATGTCACCACGGAGACAGAAGGCGTCCCCCGTAGCAGCGAATCCCATAGGGCCACGACAGTAGCGGAAGCGTCCGTTAGGCGTGATTAAAGTGGTCAGTGGCTGATCCTCCTTCTTCAGTGGGATCTGCCAGTAACCACAAAGGGCATCCATTGTCGAAAAGTGCCGTACCTTCGAGTCCACACTCCGTATAGCTGCAAAAGGTGTGGGTGAAGGGTGGGCGGGACGGGACACCTGGCTGTTAAGCTTAGACAAGTCGGTAGTAATCCGCACTCCACCGTTAGTCTTAGCCACAGCGACTAGAGGGTGGCA